GCTAAGCAGATTTTTTTCTCTTCCTAAATTCAACATTGCACAAATGATTTTGCTTTACGATGTTTAATAACAAACAATAAAACACTTGGGATGCATAGATATAATAATCCCAAATTATATGTAGAGAACAGACTTTCTAAGTTGTCTTTGGTGTTTGTGGGTTGAGAAGTCTGGAAACTGCTACCGCTGTCTGTGATTCAGATTCCTGAGGCCTGCTCCAGGTCTGCTGGGGCCCTGTCTTTGCCTGGCCAGCCCATTCTGGACTTTGCTTCTCTCTCAGCCTGGTACAGCAGATCTTTCCTATCAGCCATCCAGGTTGTCTTGGGCTGGAAATTTGTTTCACTGTCTTTTTGTGGGTTCTGCTGCTCTAGAATTTGTTTAAAGTCATTTTTTTACAGATATTTGGAGGGGTTTGGGGGGAGATCTCAAGCAAGTCAGTGCTTTTACTCTGCCATCTTGGCTCCACCCCTCCAGGAAAGACTTTCTTAACTTAATTTTTACCTTTTGCAACATACAATTCTTCTTGCAAAAATTGCTTTAAATTTTGATATGTTGGAAAGGATGCAGTACTGGGAGTCAGGAGATATGGGCTCTACTCTCAGCTCTGCCAAACTAAGTGATTTTGAACAAGTCACTTCTTCTCTAGGTCTCAATTTCCTTTTCTTTAAAATAAAGCGATTAGATTAGTTAATTGCTAAAGCCCCTTCTGGTTTCCAGTGCTTTGTGATTTCAAATAGTTCAAAATTCCAATATTCAGACTCTGACCACTAGGTGGCAGTCATGGAATAATATTCATTTTCTCCATTATTAGAATCTAATTAATAAAAACAAAACAAAACCTCCAGTTAGAAGAAAAAAAATTATTCTATGGTATTGACCATTTGATGTTTCCATTTTGAACTTAACATTAACACCAAAAACAATTTGCATTTCTGTATATATGCGTGTGTATATAAAACAAAGAGGGCTGTGCATGAAACTGAACATCTCTCTTGTGTACAGCATGTTCTTTTAAAGTATCTAATAAATTTGATCTGTAACTCTTAAATAACTCATGATTGCCTGTGATTTTTTTCTGGCCTGCTTTCTGTTCTCTTCCGTACATAAAAATGCTTCAATGGCCCTTTCTTCTTTTTCTTCTTCTTTTTTTTTTTGGCAACCCTATTCCTACCCCATTCCTTTCTACCTTCTCAAGCCACCTTTGAAAAAAAGAAAAACAACTCTATGTAGTTAAGCAAAACAAATTCTAGCACTCGGGTATTTGGAAGACTATTCAGACAAGGTAGTGTTGTAGTACATTGGGTAAAGAACTGCTCTCAAGGGGCAGCTAGGTGGTGTAGTGGATAGAGCATGGGCTCTGGATTTGGACCTGAGTTCAAATCTGGCATCAAACTCATGGTACTTACTAGCTGTGTGACCCTGGGCAAGTCATTTAACCCCATTGCCTAGCTCAAAAAAAAAAAAAAGAAGTGTTCTCAAGCTACAGAAGACCTGGTTTCAAGACTTTCCTCTGGCTTTGAAACCACTGATAAGTTATTTGACCTGTTAGTGGTCTTTAAGCTTTTTTCCTCCTTACATCCATATCAGTAAAATAATTTTGAGCACACACCCCTAATATATGTATATTAGTCACAGATATTAAATTGATGTCTTACTATACTAGTAATCATATACATCAGAGATTTTATACAAAATTGAAATAAAAAGTATGACATGAAGGCAAAATCTTTGATTTCTAAAATTTGGTCTTGGAATCAATAGGAAGTTATTGGAGTTTAATTTGTAGGGGAATGACATAGTCAAACCTATGCTTTGGGAAACTGTGATAGTTGGGTGAAGACCAGGTTGGAGTAGGGAGACATGAGGTTAATTAGGAATCTATTTCAATAATCCAAGGGAAAAGTGATATCACCTGGTAGGGTGATGACTGTACAGTAAAAGAAGGAGATATATGTGAGAGTTGTTATTGAGTTAGAAATGACAAATTTGCAACCAATTGGGTGTATAAAATAAAAGATGGTGAATATGAAAGGCTGACATCCAGTGGTTGAAAGCAGGGTGTTCTGGAAAGTAATAGGAAAGTTTGAAAGAGGGATGGGTTTGAAGGGAAAAGAAAATATGAAATATGATAATTCTAGTGCAGATTGCATCCCATCTGTGCCTATTCATCTTGTGAGATTCAACTTACTGTTCCATAAAAAAGGAAAAGGGTGGGGGGAGGGTGCAGACCTCAGCATTTGTTGCAGAAATGAGGTGATCTGGGCCTGCATAGGTACTGTGGGTGCCTAGGTTCCAGTTAGGTTACAGCTAAATTGACACTCAGGGCAGCCACAGGAAGTCAGAGGTGGGAGGGAGTGGAACTGGACACTGTTTAGCAACGATGAGTAAAAGAATAGTGTAGATCAATGGTGTTAAATGTAGATGAAACAAGGCCAACTAAACTACATAAGAATCTTTGAGGGCCACAAATTGGCTTAGTTTTAAGATGTTATATTATCTGTATTTTGTTTTATTTTTATTTACTTTGTTAACTATTTATCAATTATATTTTAATCTGGTTTGGGCACACTTGAGAGTGTTGTGGGCAGCTGATACTTCTGGGGTAGAGGATTGGCTATTGAGGTGTGATGTCATCATCTTCCCACCTGATTTGTCAACCCATCACAGCACTTGAGATAGACCATGGCTGTTTAGGTAAGCACAGCACCTGCACCAAGCAACTCCTCAAAATTCTAAGTTGTAGAACAGTTGCTGATCTGCAATGGTAGAGGAAGTTACCTCATTAGGAGTTCCCAATAGCAATTAAATCATAGGTCTCGGGTGGGGGGTGGGGGAAGCTACTAGTATTTCTCAGACTGGAGATTCTTCAAAATGGAATCTCTAAGCATCAATTTCTTCTATATGTTTTTGGTAAGGTGTTCATGACTTTATCTTCTGAAGTGGTCGCCCCTCCTTCCTCTTGTGGTAAATAATCATAGATTCCAAATGCAATTGTTCTGTCATCATTTTCAATAGGTCATTGTAGAAATGCAGTAGTATAGCAGGATAATTCTACTTGTGTTTTTCTATTATCTTTCCAGTCTCATGAACAAATACACTTCAGTAAGCTAGGTAGGTGGTATAGTGGCTAAAGTGCTGGGCCTGGAGTCAGGAAGGCCTGAGTTCAAATTTGGCCTCAGATGCTTACAAGCTGTGTGATCCTAAGCAAGTCACTTAAACTTAGTTCCTTCAACTGTAAAATGTATATGTAAAAATAAAATGTAAATGTAAAATAGAACCCACCTCCCAGGACTGTTGTGAGCATCAAATACTTGGAAAGAATTCTCCACAATGGCTGGCACATAGTAGGTGTTTAATAAATACCTGTTTCCTTCTTTGGAATCATTTGGCTTATCTAGATATCATGCCATCTTCTCTGAACTCATTTTCTCAGCTGCTTTGTGTGTGTGTGTGTGTGTGTGTGTGTGTGTGTGTGTGTGTAGTGGTATGGCTCATATTGTTCCATTTTTCATCCTCTACAAAGTGTGTGTTAATTTAGAAGATCTTGTCAAGTTTTCTTCCTATTCACTCTTTGTAGTCTACAATAGACACATATACATAAGCAGCAGTTATTGTTGTGTTCTATTTGCTTATGTTTATTGTCAACATCACAAAAGAGGGTCTAATGAAATTAAGTTTCTTGTTGCCATTGCAGTACATGAAGAAACCGATTCTATCAACAACTTTATTTACTTTGGGGAGAGTCCATGAACTATTATTCAATCTAGCTGCAAATTACTAGTGTGTTTTGGTTTCATTTATAGCAAGAATGTTGATGCACATGATAAATTTTTGTTGAAAGAATAGATATGTATGGAAGCAAAAAAAATTCCACAGCCTTTTTTTTTCTGACTCCTTTAAGATCCATAAGACTGTTCTGTGTCAGACTGCTCTTGGGAAGGAGAGAAAGTTTCCCCTCTTTCTTTTTGTCTACCCCTCATCACTTCTTTGGACTTTTCTATGCTGGGAACCCACCATTCTAGAACCTACCATGCCTTATGAAGTACATGAAGTAGTTTTTATTCATAATACATTCACAATTCTGTTTCATATTCTGAGGGACGTGTTTGGAATGAGGTACTTGCATTCTTTAGTTTTTCTTTCCTCTCTAAAAGACGACTAGGTTGTAGTAGAGATTTGTTGTTCTTGATTCTGTTTACAATTCCATAATTTTGGATTTGAATACACTAAAATTCTAGTTCAGTGCCTCCTTATTGTGTGGAGTCTAGAAGGCATTGGGTAATACTCTGGCTCTATTATTAAATTTCTGTCACCCAAAGATCAGTCCAGCTAAATGCTGAGCAGCTCACCAGTAGATGGTTGCCACTTTGGGATTAATCTTTAATACTATGGCAATTCACAAAGACTATTTACTTAAGGCTTGGAAGGGATACATTCTGTATTGGGAAAGGAAACATCCACATTGATGAAATCGCATACCCTTTTCATCATACAAGAAATATATGAATTAAAGTTGAGAATAGCTAATTTATGTTGAGAACAGCGGTAGTTGTTCCTGAAATTAAGACCATATGTAGAAAACTTCTTTTCTACTTATCTAACTTAAAAACCTGCAGCTCTTGAAGGTGATTGTCCCATTTTGGCGACATCAAAAGAGGAGAGGAATATAAAGGACAATCAGCTTATAAAGGTTGGATTCTAATTAAATTTCTCCTCAATTTTTAGCTTTAAACTTTTAGATAACAGATTGAACATGAGGCAGAATAGACAGCTAATAACCCCTGGGAAAAAACACTTAGAGACATAGGAGCTGTCCAGGTGCTGAGGTGATGCTAGTTGGTCATAAGGTTGGCCCTCCAAACAGAAAGAGGGAGTGGAAAAGCTTGCAAGGAAGGGGGGGGGAGGGACAGTGGATTACCCAATAGTGCCGCCCCTTGGCACAGCTGGTGGCTGCCTCTATCCCAAGAGAGAATGGAGAAATAGGCTGGGAGATGGAGAGCTGAGAAGAGAAAGGTTAGCTCTCTGGAAGAGGAGACTGTCACTGAGAGTGCAAAACAACAGAAGTCTCTTCCTGGATCCTTTTACCTTCTAGGCAGCATGAAAGCTATTCTGCTGCTCAGTTTCCTTTCTAGCTTACTGGTGGGTGAGGGCAGCAGCTGGGGAAGGAGGGCATACTCTACTAGAAAAAGACCTGGGTGTCTGGGATCATCGGATGGCACTCTACAACAGGGGAAGAGGGAATACCAGTATGGGAGAGGGAAATGGCCATCATTTGAGTATGGGTTAAAAGCTTTAGCAGTATGAAGGGACCTAAATGAATCTTTTCCAAGTCAGTTCAGAGTGTCCCATGGAAAGCTATCTTTGAAGGCTGGTTGATTTTTAAACTTCCATGCTTCTCACTAAACTTTCCTCCAAAGTTGGTGAGAAGGGTAGGGAGTAGGAAAGATGCAAAAAAAGAAAGAAAATAGACTTCTTGCACAGACTTGGCTTATAGATTTCATGTGGCCCCCTGGCAGGTGCTTCTAATTGCCAACACCCACGGGTGGCATGACCTGGACAACACCAATTTTGACTGCTGGCCCCTGGAGAAACCTGATGAGATGAATATGCTGGATTGTGGAGGTGAGTGGGGTACTCTGGTGGGAACAGTGCCCTGTTTGCTTTTTTATTTTTTGGTCTAAAAATCTTTTGCCCTAAGCTATCCTTGATCGTGAGTGCATAATTTGGAGGAGGGCAAACACCTAGAGAGATATGGGACAGCAGTGTCCTGAATTCATCTGTGTCTCTGGGTTGTCAACGCAGACCTCCAGCGCTGGTTTTCTGGTAAACTCGTAGCTAGTTATCAACACATCCACATTTGTATTACTTCTACTGGGTGTGATTGATTTTTATTCTGGCCCTTTAAGTTAGCAAAAGTAACTGAAATTGAACGTTGCATATTTGCAAGCATGACATTTAACAGCAATTATATGTGTCAGATATAGGAATCCTTCCTGATAAATTGATATGGTACATATTTCTTTATATTGATTTGATTTTAAAAAGAGATGCCCAGTAATAAATAGGTTAAACTAGAGATTTCTTCATATATCTATATCTATATCTATATCTATATCTATATCTATATCTATATCTATATCTATATCTATATCTATATCTATATCTATATCTATATCTATATCTATATCTATATCTATATCTATATCTATATCTATATCTATATCTACATCTACATCTACATCTACATCTACATCTATATCTATATCTATATCTATATCTATATCTATATCTATATCTATATCATGAATGAAGCTGAATCAACCATACTATCCTGTAACTCAAGGTTTCTAAATCCACTCACTTTTAATTCAAGAAGATTAATAGAAAGGAAATAGAGTAGTCCTTGCCCTCCCCAGCTGCTATATTAAAGTAACAATAAACTGCTGTGTGCCTAAAGTGAAAGAGATAATTTGATAGGTTGGAGACTTAGACAATTAGGTTTTAAAATATTTGGTGTGCCAGGTGCTCAAATTTAACATGTCATCAATACGTTTGTGTTGTGATGACTATTTTCCACATCAATAGCAATTTTGTTCAGGCAACTTAAAGTGGTTTGGTAAAACTTTAAGATTTCAATTATGCATATAGAGAAATGTGTCATTTCTAAGTACTTGCATAATTCCTGTCATTGTAGTGGGTATATAATTGCTTTTAGTTCATTAATCTATTCTTTGTCATACTTTCAAAACATCCAGTGAATTTTCACACACACACACACACACACACACACACACACACACACACACTGGCATCATTAAGAGCAAGATAATGACAATTATCCCTATTTCTCCTCGCATCCATTTTCTCATTACTTTTGGTATCATGTAAGAATTGAATGCTTTACTTATTCCCCACTCTATCCTCAAAGTACCCCATTTCCCTTTGAAAACCTTACAGATGACTAGCAGCATCAGTACCACTACCACATCTTTTGGGTCACCATCAAATATAAGTATGACCATGTGTACATAAATCCCAAATAACAGAACTGAACATCTGGCCAACCTTCCCCCTTTTACAGATTAAGATACTAAGGACCGGAGGTGAAATGATTTCTCTGAAATTACACAGCTGAGAAGTTGCAGAGTTTAGGGAAAACCTAAGTCTTTCAGAGTCTTGACTCCAATGTCCACTTCTCTCTTTATATTAGGCTTCCACCCTGAAATTAGTTTATTATTCCATATGCTACATTTACTTAAGTGCAGGTTTATTCAAAAGGAGCTTGATTTATAAATCAAAATGTTGTAGACTTGCCATATATAAGGTCCATTGCCTTATTCACTGTGATTTCCTTTTTCTTGAAAGAAAATTATAATTTTTTCTTTTTACTGAAATTACCCAACTGTATAGGTCATTTCCCACTGTATAAGAAAACGCTCAGGGCAAATTATAGTAGAAAAGAATTTCCTCCAATGATATTCTTATTCTGTTTGTTTGGATTCAGCACCAACAAAAAAAATCTTGTTATTGTCCTCATTGTTATTTAGCCATCCAAAGAGGCTCATATGTTTATCATTTTTTAATGAGTCTAAAAATTTATGCTTTGGGGGACCTCTTGAGGAAGTGCTAAAAGGGGTTAAAAAAACTGGGGATATTTAGCCTAGAAAAGGGAGCAATAGTTCTTTTCATGAATTTGAAAGTCTGTAATATGGAAGAGGGATGAAATTTATCTTGTTTAGGCTTACTGGGCAGAACTAGGAGCAATAGGGAGAAGGCTGAGGGAGGGAGCACTTACTAGTTAGTGAATGAGTCGCAGAAATGTAGGAATAGAATTATGTGAAAGCCTGTAATAGAACAGAATATTGTGTTTAAGAAGGACTAGTTTGGCAGTAATATGCTAATATGCAGGATGGATTAGAAGGAGAAAACCTCAAGAAGAGAAGAACAGAGATTAAGTTCTTGGAAGAGGTGAGGCAATCAGTTGGTAGAAGTGATAGATAAGAAATATTTTTTAAAAACAATTAATTAAGTTTTAGTTTTCAACATTCAGTTTCATAAGATTTTGAGTTTCAAATTTTCTTCCCATCTCTCCCCTTCTTGTCACAAGACAGAATGCAATTTGACATAGGCTCTACATTTACATTCATATTAAACCTATTTTTATATTAGTCATGTTGTAAAGAAGTAGAACCAATGAGAGAAACAATGAGAAAGAAGAAACAAGCAAAAAAAAAAAGAGAAAGAGAGAGAGAGCAAATAATATCCTTTAATCTATATTCAAACCCCATAGTTCTTTTTCTGGATGTGGACAACATTTTCTATCATGAGTCCTTTAGAGTTGTCTTAGATTCTTGTGTTGCTAAGAAGAGATGAATCTATCAAAGTTAATCATTGTCCAATGTGGCTGTTACTGTGTACAATGTTCTCCTGGTTCTGCTCACTTCACTCAGCATCACTTCATTCAAGTCTTTCTAGATTTTTCTGTAGTCTGACTGCTCATCGTTTCTTATATCACAATAGTATTCCATTACATTAATATACTACAGCCTGTTCAGCCATTCCCCTATTGATGGCCATACCCTCAATTTCCAATTCTTTGTCACCACAAAAAGAGCTGTTATAAATATTTTTGTACATGTGGGTCCTTCTCCCATTTGTATGATCTCTTTGGGATATAAATCTAGAAGTGGTGTTGTTGGGTCAAAGAGCACGTATAGTTTTATAGCCCTTTGGGCATAGTTCCAAATTGCTTTCCAGAATGGTTGGATCATTTCACAACTCTACTAACAATGCATTAGTGTTCCAGTTTTTCCACATTTTCTCTAGCATTTATCATTTTCTTGTTTTGTCATGGTAGCCAATCTGATACGTGTGATGTGGTACCTCAAAGTCATTTTGATTTGCATTTCTCTGATCAACAGTGACTTAGAGCATTTTTCATATGACTAATAGCTCTAATTTCTTCATCTGAAAACTGCCTGTTCATATCCTTTGACTACTTATCAATTGGAGAATTACTTGCATTCTTAGAAATTTGACTCAGTTCTCTATATATTTGAGAAACGAGGCCTTTGTCAGAGACCCTGGTTGTAAAAATTCTTTCCCAGTTTTCTGCTTCCCTCCTAATCTTGGTTCCATTGGCTTTGTTTGTGCAAAAACTTTTCAATTTAATGTAATCAGCATCATTCATTTTGCATTTCTTAATGTTCTTTTCTCTTGTTTGGTCGTAAATTCTTCCATTCTCCATAAATCTGGAAGTAAACTATTCCTTGTTCTCCTGGTTTGCTTATAGTATCAGCCTCTATATCTAAATCATGAACCCGTTTTGACTTTATTTTGGTATACAATGTAAGATGTTGGTCTATGCCTAGCCTCTGCATAATGTTTTCCAGTTTTCCCAGAAGTTTTTATCAAATAGTGAGTTCTTATCCCAGAAGCTGGAGTCTTTGGGTTTATCAAACAGTAGATTACTACAGTCACTGACTACTATGTCTTGTGTACCTAACCTATTTCCACAGATCCACCACTCTATTTCTTAGCCAGTACCAAGTAGTTTTGATGATTGCTGCTTTATAATACAATTTAAGATCTGGTATGGCTAGGGCACCTTCCCTAGCATTTCTTTTCATTAATTCTTTTGATATTCTGGACTTTTGTTCTCCTGGATGAATTTTGTTATTATTTTTTCTAGCTCTATAAAATAATTTTTGGTAGTTTGATTAGTATGGCACTGAATGAGTAAATTGATTTAAGTAGAATTGTCATTTGTATTATATTATCTTGGCTTACCCATGAGCATCTGATGTTTTTTCAATTATTTAGATCTGATATTATTTATTTATTATCTGACACTGAAAAGTGTTTTGTAATTGTGTTTGCTTTGGCAGGTAGGCTCTCAAATATTTTATAATGTCTGTAGTAACTTTAAATGGAATTTCTCTTTCTATCTCTTGATGTTGCGCTTTGTCAGTAATTTATAGAAATGCTGATGATTTATGTGGATTTATTTATATCCTACAAGTTTGCTCAATTTGTTTATTATTTCAATCAGTTTTTTTATTTGATTTGCTAGGATTCTCTAAGTATATCATTGTATAATCTGCAAAGAGTGATACTTAGTTTCTTCTTTGCCTATTCTAATTCCTTCAATTTCTTTTTCTTCTCATTGCTAAAGCCAACCTTTCTAGTACCATATTGAATAACAGTGCTGATGATGGACATCCTTGTTTCACCTCTAATCTTATTGGAAATGCTTCTAGCTTATACTCATTACATATAATGCTTGCTGATGGTGTTAGGTAATGTTACTTATCATTTTAAGGAAGACTCCCTGTATTCCTATGCTCTCTAGCATTTTTAATACAAATGGGTATTGTATTTTGTCAAAAGCTTTTTCTGCGTCTATTAAGATAATCATATGGTTTCTGTTAGTTTTGCTGTTGATATGGTCAATTATGCTGATAGTTTTCCTAATATTGAACCAGTCCCACATTCCTGGTATAAATCCTACCTGGTCATAGTGATAAGTCACTGTATTTGTTTTGCTAATATTTTATTGAAAATTTTTCCATCTATGTTCATTAGGGAAATTGGTCTATGATCTTCTTTCTCTGTTTTGATTC